GTACCCATTTTTTGAAAGAGTCAATTTTTTGTAAGTGTTAGTGATAATTGAGGCTATGACCATTAACTTAATTGAGGCTTAAGTGGTACTCCCACGGCTACCAAGCCGTATATTCATTTGCATATATTGTTACATATAATTCCTTCGAATTAGGAGCCAATTCTTAAAGAAAGTGTATATTATCTACAAGGTTATTATAGAAAGGATAGGTATAGTATCTTGTTTGTTTATGATATTGTAGGGTGCAGTATGCATAGAGCCGAGGCTCTAAACGATCAAAGTAGAGCCTACCTTTAAATATTGTCGAGAATTGTATTTTCAAGATTGAAAATATTTGTGATAGCTTTAAAATATATTTTTATGTCTAAATATAAAATTTAAAGTTTCAAAAATAGTGTAGATCTACTGTAGATCATGTAGATATGTAAAAATCTTGAAAATTGACGGTCCAAAATTGCATTACAAAATGTACTATTTCTAAAACTTGAAATCTATTTTTTTGTAATGTTCATGCATCTTGATGTCGAGATGATATTTAGAAGTCAAAATGACCTCTTCTAATGAAAGTTTTGGAGTAGGCTTTAATTCAATTATTTCGACTCTATATAAACTTTACCCTTTTTAAAAAGGTACCATATCCATGCTATTTGGCCTTTTTAAGGCTCATGAATTGGGAGTACAGTGAGACAACAAGGCATAAATGATAACGAGGTTGGTACCATCAACGAATGAGACAACATTTGAAAAGATGAATCAACGGTTGAGATTGAGGTGTGTATTCCGGTCCATTCGAGCAAATTAGAGATATTGTATATCTGAGAAACACGGAGGTATTGAAAATTAAGGAGTTTTTGGGTGACCTAAAAGGTGTCGCCTGTTAAAAAAGTACACTATCCATGATCGGGCCTTTTGAGACAACAGTGTATAATGTTTACGAAGTAGGTAGAATCAACGAATGAGACAACATTCAAAGAAAGTAATCAACGGATGAGATTGTGGGGTACTTATGCCTTCGAGAAACATTATCTCACGAAACCCGTTCTTTAAAGGGTAAGGCTTAGGCTCTATTTAAAAAGTGGAACCGAATCTCAAAAAGCTGCTAGAAAACGGCTTCCAATGCCTTCAAAGTTATGTTTGATCGTGCCTTCCACTGCAAAATTTGAACTCGAAATTATGTCCGTTTATGTCATCCCTCAAAAAGTTTGAAGGTCCAAAAATAGATAAGATATAGTAAATTAGTTAACATTTAGAAAATGGACAGTTCAATAATAGACACTTCAATAATAATAGGATAAATTTTATTTAGGGCATCAAAACTTCCTTTTTTATTTTTTTTTTAGATTCATAATTTTGAAGGAGGTTGGGATGATATGTTTTGAGAATCTTTTGGCATTAAAAATGTATTCATAGTGGGGATTTTGAAGTGCAGCTTTACTTTGTATAGTGAGGCCTATGCCTTATACATACATTTTCCTTCTTTGGTCGGAACTCCTATGGATGACTCTTAGACATTCTTACCCTAAAAGATATTAAGATTACAATATTAAAATGTTGTATATTTAAAAAATTCATCAGAAAAAGTTGTTTTTGGTATTAAAAACCCCTCTAATTGATTATGTCAACCTATGGATATAAAAAGAAAAAAATAAAAAAATAAAAATTTCAAGACTTCTTATAATTGATCATGTCAACATATGGATATAAAAAAAAGAAAAAAAGAAGACAAAAATTTCAGAGTCTAAAAAATAGTGTATCTTGCAGCATATTATCTAAGACTATCTTCCATTTTCAAGATTTTCGAGTTTTTATAGATCTACTTGATTTGAACCTATTTTAAAATTCTAAATTTGATAACCAAAGATGAAAATATATTCTCAAATCCAAAAATTTTGACATCAAAATTACATCTTATAAACAAATTAGAAATGTTTTTTGTTGTTTGATGTTGCAACATTATGCAAACCGCATTCAAAGATACACAAAGGTCTTTTTCCATTTGAAGGTATTTTTCAATGAATTTGTCAAAAAAAAAAAAAGAAGAAGGTATTTTCATTGAATTTTTGTTACCTCTTCTCTCATCCTCACAGTGTTGAATTTCAGGCGAGAAATCCATGATCAAGAAGCGCTACATGTACCTGACTGAGGAGATCCTGAAGGAGAACCCCACTGTCTGCGAGTACATGGCTCCGTCGCTCGACGCACGGCAGGACATGGTTGTGGTGGAGGTTCCGAAACTCGCAAAGGAGGCGGCGACCCGCGCCATAAAGGAGTGGGGGCAGCCGAAGTCGAAAATCACCCACCTGGTCTTCTGCACCACCAGTGGCGTTGACATGCCTGGCGCCGACTACCAGCTCACCAAGCTCCTTGGCCTCCGCCCCTCTGTAAAGCGTGTCATGATGTACCAAATGGGATGCTATGCTGGTGGCACTGTACTTCGTGTCGCCAAGGACCTCGCCGAGAACAACCGTGGGGCGCGAGTCCTCGCCGTTTGCTCTGAGATCACTGCTGTCACGTTCCGAGGCCCATCAGACACCCACCTCGACAGTCTTGTGGGACAGGCGCTGTTTGGTGATGGGGCCGGCGCTCTCATTGTCGGTTCCGATCCTTTGCCTGTCGAGCGCCCCATTTTCGAGCTCATATGGACGGGGCAAACAATTTTGCCAGACAGTAATGGCGCAATCGATGGGCACTTGAGGGAGGTAGGATTGACATTCCACCTTCTGAAGGACGTCCCCGGGATCATCTCGAAGAACATAGACAAGGCCCTGGTCGAGGCATTTGAGCCTCTGGGGATCAGTGACTGGAACTCCCTGTTCTGGATTGCGCACCCCGGGGGCCCTGCGATCCTGGACCAGGTAGAGGCAAAGCTTGGGCTCAAGGAGGAGAAGCTGAGGGCCACCCGCCATGTGCTGTCCGAATTCGGAAACATGTCAAGCGCCTGTGTGCTCTTCATCCTCGACGAGATGCGCCGCAAGTCAGCCCAGGACGGGTGCAAGACAACTGGGGAGGGCCTTGAGTGGGGTGTTCTCTTCGGCTTTGGCCCAGGGCTCACTGTTGAGACTGTTGCCCTCCGCGGCATCGCCACTGCATAAGCGCCACCGCAGATCCCAATTCACCACCACCACCACCACCATCATCATCATCATGAACATTATCTGTCTCTCTTAGGATCTTCTTATACGCTTGCCGTTTGAAGCAGTGAAAGTTGTGCTATTTCAGGGCTGGTGCATTGTCAAGGTTTCTCTCGGGGTGGGAGCTCTCTATGGGCCCAGAATCTCTCTTTTGTTATGAATTTGTATTTGAGGTTGTCTAAATAAGAATGTTATTCTTGAACAATGAGTGCTCTTTAGCATTCATATATTCAAATGTCACTACTTTTAGGTGGTCGAGACTTTTTTCGTGGAATTTAAGAAGATCAAATATTTTATTGATGTGCAAATTGAGTCAAAATTAAACTAATTTTGCTGGTAACCGCCTACCAGCAAAATCAGTTATTTGAGAGTAGGAAGCGGGCCTTGAAACACCATTCATCCAATTCCAATTCTGATAAATAAAAACAGGAGAATTGGGGCCGATTCTCCAGTCTGATCGCGTTACGGTTAACAAAGAAGCTCAAAAAAATAATAATAAATAAGGAGAGTTGGGGTAATTTCAAGATTTTTTTGAGAGTGATCAGTCATCTTTCCATTTGATTCGAGTGATTCTGTGTGGGATCAGTGATTTTCAAATCAAATTAATTAGTTAACTTGGTTGATGGGATCTTTTTGTTGCATGACCATTGTACCAATTACCACCAATAGTGATGTGTAGGCGGGACAAAAACTAAATAAAATATGTGAATCAAGGATGGGTATGCATTTAGTTGAGCACGTTACGTAACCATTTATGAGACATAGCATTGTACGTTTAAATCTAATATTTCCCAATTGTTTATATGAAAATATTATAGCTCGGGCTTGGGTCAAGACGGTGGTAGCAGCTGGACGTTCTTAGCGCTACTCTCAAGTTGTAACCCTATCAAACACAAAATGTCAAAATAAAATATATTATTAATTCATAAATATCTTACTTACAAGAAGCTTATCGCTGTCTTTACGAAGGGTTAAGCTAATAAAATAAATAAATAATATATGAAGGAAAAGGTTTATACAAAGGTAAGGCCCTAAACAATCAAATTAAAGCGCACTTCAGAAATTCACCTGAAAGAATTCGTTCGATACTAAACAACCGTCAATTCAATCATCTCGACCTATGGACATGAGAAAAAATAGCCTTCAAGTCTTGAAAACAATGTATTTTGTAATATATTTTTTAAACTGTCAATTTTTAAGATTTTTAAGTGTATATAGATCTGCTGATCTATACTATTTTTGCATCTTTAAATTTTATAATTAGAGATAAAATTAAAGTTTCATGCCCCCATAAATAATTTTGATACAGAAACAATATATTTCAGTACTATTTGAAGGTGTGTCTTACTTTGCTTGCTTAGAGCTTTAGCCTTATACAAACTGCCCCCATATATGAATTAGATTGAATATTACGAGACTATTTATCCTAGGTCTAAATTACTCCTATCATTTAGATGTCAAATTAGATTCTCTCTAACAATTTTGAAATAGTTTTTCTCTAAAAAATTCCAGGTAATTTTTCACTCTAAAATTAGATATAGTTTCTATCTCTATAAGTTTAATATATTATCTCTCTCTAAAACTTAAAATTTGAGATAATTTTTCTCCTTAAAAAATTTGAGATTTCTGCTCTTTAAAAATATTTTAAATAATTTTTCTATCTAAAATTCAATATAGTTTTTCTCTTTCTAAAAATTTAAGTTGTTTTCTCTCTCTAAAACTTAAAAATAAGAGATGGTTGGTTTCCCTCTCTAAAATATTGAAATAATTTATCTCAAAAACTTTTCACGTACTTTCTCTAAAATCTAATAATAAATTATCGCTTTGTATATTTTTCCTATAAGATAATTATAATTTATAATATGAAAAATATATGTTATGTGTTTATTTTATTTGACAGGGGTCCATATGTTATATGTAATGGTGGGGTTTTCATAAAGCCACAGGTCAAGGTGCCCCCGTACTAAGTAACAACTTGAGATGTGATGGGATTGTCGCTAGTGTGATGATACACGAGAAAGAGACTGAATGCAGCCGCGGCCGGACCAAAGATTAACCCTACCACTTGGATGCAGCACGTGATACACGAACCTTACTTATTGGGCCAAAACGTGTAAATTTGAAATAGGGTCAAAATCCAAAACGCAAACTTCTAGGCGAGTGCAAGTTTGATAATACATTTCTCTTGTTCGGTACCATGCTTTAAGACAAATTAGGATATTGTTTCACTCAAAAAAAAAAAATAAATACATATATATATATAATAATAATAATATTTTTTTTTTTTTTTTTTTTTAAAGATGAGACAATAGGTCCTTTTCCTTCACAACTACCCTCTACATGGTAACGACAATAAGAGAGTGGAAAAAATTCACATATATTTTCAAATTTTTTTAGTGGAAAAGTATAAAATGATATCACATATCTTTAATACAAGGTGGTCACATTAATATTGACTATTGGATGTGAAATTGGATATCTACAATTATTCTATTGACCAAGCTAAAACTTTAAAAGAAATTCTTTTGAATTTCGTGTTACATCCAAGCTATCAAATTTCACATCAAATGGTTGTGAGGAATTGTGACCACTTTGTATCAAAAGAAAATAGTCTCATTGTACACAATCACCTTTTTTTATAAAGCCGATGTAGTGTTCTTCTTTGTGCATACATTGTGCTCCCGCAGAAGCACTCTATGCATCTACTCCCTTGGACAAAATACCTAACTTCATTGATTTTTTAACTTAAAATTTTGAGAACCATACAGAAATTACTAGATGATCATTTTTTAAATAAAAAATTTTGAATTTTTTGTGTTGTGACACTTAGATTTAGCCCTTCCAAAATTGGATGGTCTTTATTTAATCTTGAAGCATTATTTGTTTTCTTCTATATAAAGATTTTATTTTTCATTTTTTTGTTGAGATTATTTTATGGATTATATCTCCTAAGCATATAATTTACCTGAGGGAATAAATACATAGTATACTCCCATGGGACTAAATAGTTATTCTCTCTCTCTCTCCTCATGTTCTCCTAGCCCCCCTTCCTCCTATTTGGTGTTGAAATTGCTGGATAGGTGGGCAATTGCGGTAAAAAAAAAGGGGGCGACTAGGGTGGGCTGCTCGTCATAATTTTGGCAAAAAATGGTGTCATACGATAATAAAGGGTGGAAATAGTGTCCTCATGTGATTTCCTCATATATGAACAATCCAATTGTCATCAAATAATTGGGATAAAGTTTTAAGAGTAATGATCCTATGAGACATTCCCATACTCATGTGATAACTTTTCTAAAGATCTGTATCAAATTTAATAGTGATCTTTTGGGGTCTTACACACATGGGTGTGGGAGGGTCTCATAGGATCATTACTCAAGTTTTAATGATAATAATGGTGACGATGATGACGATGAACCGTCCAATTCTCTAAGGAGCCCACTTTCGACGTAGGTTCACTTAAAACTCAATTGGTTATAAAGTTGGGCAAGCTTTCTATGCTTCCCCTACAACATAAAACTTATATGCTTCCCTATATCCAACCGTCCATTTGAATGTATGGTTGAGATGGTCCCGATCACAATGTCATGTCCCTATATTATTTTATTTTTAATATTTTTAATACAAACTATTTTGACACCAAATTTTGAACGTCCACTCATCTCTTAAACTTGCACCTATAAAAAGTATTAAAAAATATTTTTAATAAAATAAAAAGATCAAAATACCCCTAAAATGTTCAATGGTTATTTTGCTCATTATATTTTATCGAAAAATTAATTTTTTTTTAGGTGCACCCCATTGATATGATGACACATACCAAATTTCACATTCATACAATATGTGGAACAAAAATTAAAAATGAAATACTCTGAGATGTTAGATCTATATCAAATGGTTAATGGCTCACTTGATCTAAATTGGACTGTTGGATGAGGGGGAAAGTATATATCTTCTAGGTAGTAGATGAAGTATAGAAACCTTTCCCTGTAAAGTTTAGCCCAGTTTGGATGCAACACAAAAGTAAAAGGCGTAAAATTGAAATACTTATCTATCTCAAACAATTGTTCTCATGTCTCGAGAGATTTTGGTTTCTTTTACTTATTGGGATTGTATACAATGAGACCATTCACCTTTAGTACAGGGAGGTCGCAATTATTTACACACATCCGATATGAAATCTAATAGCTTAGGTGTGTCACAAAGTTCGAGAAAATTTCTTTTGAACTTTGTGTTAAGTCAATGAAATAAATGCGACCATCCAATTTCACATCCAATGGTCAAGATTAATTATGACCACCTTGCAACAAAGATAAATGGTATTATTATATAATGGGTGCGGTTTGTATAGAGCCTAGGCTCTAAACAATCAAATTAGAGCCTAGCGCTTGATGATTTACATCGTTATGTCCTAGGCTCATTTCCTACCCAGGGTAGGGGCCCTCTCCCCCACTAACTCACCCAAAAAACAAAGGCAGTGACTTATTTTATTTTCTAATTCTTAAAGGCAATCCTATATATTTTATATTTTCTAATTTTGAAAGCATAGCGTGTTTTAAATTTGTTTATTCTATATATAATATTAAGTTCAATTTTGGGATACACATATTTCTCGCCATCCTATATCTAAAAATAAATAAAAAATATAATGTTAAAACAATAAAGCAATGTTCTCAAAAGGAAAGAGCTATATTTCAAGTGTTTATAGATTTGTTCGATCTGCACTTTTTTTTGTGTTTGAAATTTCATAATTGCGGTTGAATGTGGATTTTCAAGCCATCATAATGTTTTTGATGCCAAAACTATATCTTCTGGTAAAATTTAGAGATGCACCTTACTTGAATAGTAGAAGGTGGGTACCTTATAAAACCTCACCCTTTAGTTTAAGGAAAATATAGGAGATCCTATTTTATAGGAAACTACGTCAAAATAGTTATATGAAAGGATATATAGAGTATGTACGCATTGGAGGTATTCTTATACATAAAATATTTTGTAGAAAGAGAAAATTGATGAAAAGAAAAAATGTGAGTTTTCTTTAGTTCTTAGGTTGGTGTTTTAGAAAGAAAACACCCTTCTTTTAGGACTTGTGCATGAGAGATTGTAAACCTTTGTATTTTTCTTGCTTATATAATGTTTTCTGATTAGGGGAAGAGAAATTTCCCGCCATGTACAAGTATGCGATTTGTTGAACTATATAAATCTTGATACTTTACTTCCTTTATTTTTTGCATTATTGTTTTCCTCTTATTTTGCCTTAATCTCAGTTTTGCC